ATAAGAAAAATCAAAAAAGAAAGATGAAAGAAAGAATGAAAAAAAAGAAAAAAAAAAAAAAAAAATTTTTTGAAAAGGAAGGAATAATGTGAAATAAGAAAAAAAAAAAAGGAAAAAAAAAAAGATAAAAATTTTTGAAGAAAAGAAATGAAAAAAGAAAAGAAGAAAAGGGTTTTTTTCATTTTTTGCAAAAAAGCCAGAATTTCATACGGATAAAGGTTGACAAGAAAGTTCATTGAAAAAAAAAAAAAGAAATGAAAGAAAATAGAAAATGAAGAATGAAAAAGAAATAATAACACAAAAAAGAAAATAAAGTAGCAGAAATGGTGGCAAAAATAGGATGAATAGTTCAAGTGATGGACGATCTAAAAGAAAAGAAGATGGAAAGAGAAGATGAATAATATTGAAAGAAGGAGATATTTCTATTTTAGAGGTAAAACAATGGACGATTTATGAGCATAGATAAAACGAAATATGCATGATGTCAGGGGATATCAAGGAAAGTTTATATGACAGGTTTGCTATATTAGCAAATTAACAGATCTCCTAATTAAAATAACAGCCACCCAGTTTGTTGAAAATATATCTTATTTGTGAAATACGAAATAATTGATAGCGTCAGTCGATGCTCAAATCTCGAAGAAAAAATAATGAAGACATAAGATGGAGCGGTAACTTTTAATTGGCCCACGAATTGACGAATCAGCATTTAGCGAGAAGCCGAAATTTCTTGATAAAAAAAAAGAGTTTCATCACTGATAAGTAGTCGGTAAAATTTCCACATAGTGGACAATGAAATCATACTTATTTTAAAACCCAGGTTGTTGTGTGTGTGTGTGTGTGTGTGCGTACGTTTATATATTGGATCGGATTTCCTACATTTTTCAACCGATTTCAACAAAACTTCACAGGACTACATAAAATTACCTTGCGGTGGTTCTGACAGCGCCAAAATTGGAAAAAACAATTGTTTTTGCATGAAATCAATTTGAAAACACGAAAATTAGACATTCTGTCGCCAGAATGAAAGGGGGACAACTCATATCGAGTTATACTTATTATAAAACCCAGGTTGTGTGTGTGTGTGTGTGTGTGTGTGTCCGTTTATATATGGGATCGGATTTCCTACATTTTTCAACCGATTTCAACAAAACTTCACTTTTTTTTGGCAGGTAGTGTTTCTTATTGTCTTGCACACTTTTTTTCTTTATTTTTACATTCAAATGCTTTAAAAATTCCATTTACAAGACAATTGTTTATAATAAAATTCTATTCAATCGATAGACTCATAACGATTAAAAACAATGTTTTTGTTTGAGTTTCGGTTTGAAAAAAAAAAAAAAAAAAAAAAAAAAAAAACTAATTAAGACGTGTGTCCGTCAACCTTAAACAATAATCTTTGTCAATTTTATTTTTCAGTCTTTATGATGGTCGATACTTGATCTATCTCTTACTGTTACATCCCCGGGCAACGCCGGCCTCTACTGCTAGTAGTTAATAAATACCATATTCGTTGAAAAAATTAATGTTAGAAAAACGTTTATCCTGGTGAAAATACGGATGATTTGATATTCAATAAGAGACTCAGACACAGCGATTGTGTTGCATTGGCATGAAAACTGCCGTGGAGATTAACATGGAAACACAATTTATTCGGTTCGTTAAGCAAAAAGAAAAGACTACAGACGCCATATACCTGTTTGACCCATATAATGAACCACATATGATGCTGTAACTATGTTAGGGGCAGGAAGAAAGTGTGTAAAGGTAGGAAAAGAAAGAAATATTCATAAAAATAGGTTTGGAAAAAAAGGAAAAGGGCGTGTAAATAGAAATAAAAATAAAAATAAAAGTCTTGGGAATCTAAAGACAGAAGTTATTTCCAAAAAGGATAAAGATTTGACGACAGCCTACAACATGTGATCATTTTTTAAGTGCAGTATCCCCACCAGGACGTAGGCAATCATGGCACGCACAATTTTATGTCCCTTGCAGCTCTAAATAAATTCTGTCTTGGTGGAAGAACTCTCGATGAGTCAAAGGTCAGCTAACTAGAGGTGGTGTCGCAATAAATCACCATGGAGAAGGCAAATCCACTATCAATCCTATGAAACACCATAGTATTTACCAAAAATTTGATTATGTTACTGAAAAGTATTCCGGAAAACGACTCTCAATAATATTTTCATCAATGTCACCATTGTCTCACGAAGTGTATCATTTCACGAGGAATACTTTCAAGGTTACAGTAATCAACAGTGACCAGATGAGAAAACTATAATTTCACAGGACCTTTCCAGGAATTAAATCGTCGCACCTCCTACAATTAAAAATGAGTGAACTAAAAGGCAAAAAGTATGAAGGATGTGTGAAAATAGGAGCCATTCATTAGTTACCGATTCCGGTTACAACAAATTGCAAACATGACTTATATCCCTTCATCTATTAAGATCTTGAGTATGATTATCTGCCAAAAATATGTTGATGACCTATGTTATCTATGTTTTTGTTTTCCTTTACCTTTCTCCGGGGACCATACTCTCAAGAAAACATTTCTCCAAGTACCATTCCCTCAGGATACAATTTCTTCAGGGACCATACCCTCAACATATAATTTCTGAGAGATCATTTAATATATATATATATATATATATATATATATATATATATATATATATATATATAGTTAGTTTATGAAAAACTAGGTAATCCGTATGGGTAAACCTAAGGAGGATAAAATCCAGAGAGCTCAATGTAAATCCAGAGCAAATAATTTAAATAAAAACAGACCACTTTAAGGTTCCATGTAATAAATTATTTCACCACAGCCCTTTTAAAAGGACTGCGGATCATCAGACTTTACTTCCAAAAAAAAAAAAAAAGAAAATTTACACATTTTTGACGGGCCGTATTAAACATATGAAAATTAACGAAGTGAGGAAGTAGGGGGGGAGAGAAGACATACGTGAATTAGCAGATATTGATACAATTTAAAAGGTTAAATTAAATATGAAATAATTTATTACATGGAAATTAAAAAACATAAACAGATTTTAAATTATATATATATATATATATATATATATATATATATATATATATATATATATATATATATATATTAATCATGTTTCATTAAATAAATATTTAGACAAGTTATGTAAATTCTTTTAAATATCGTTCTTATAATATTAATAATGATAGTTATTTTTGTTATATGGAAATATTTCCAAAGCGACGAATTCATAAATTTTAAATATATTTTGAACAAAATAAACTATGAACTCTCCCAAAATATTGTTAAATGTCTATAATTGATAACAGAAGCCATTAAATTTATACCAACGGCTTCTCATACTTTTACTTTCTTTTTAAGACTCGGTGGTCATTTGATGTTATGATTGTAAACCGATTTTTTTTTAATCATCGTCTTTGTAGCTTATACACGAGTTTGTTTAAAAAATTGAAATAATATATGCAAACAAAAACAGATTATCATTACTGGTTTGACCGTTTAAACTAATATATTGTAATGTCATTGTCATCTTTGATAATGGGTTATGTAAGCCAAAAACTTAGATAGGATTAAAAATATGGATCAATATTTGATTTTCTTTCAACTTTTCATGATAATGTTATTAAATGGTTATCAGATGATATGAAAATGAAATATAAAATAAATAGAAAAAATATATATATATATATATATATATATATATATATATATATATATATATATATATTAAAAGTTTTGATAAAAAAATCTATGTATCAAAAAAATGAAAAATTAAATAAATATATATATATATATATATATATATATATATATATATATATATATATATATTTATTTTCATCTGTTCAAATTCTTTTTCGTGTTTAAATTCCAAAGGCGACAACGAATCTAAATCTTCCTTCAATGCAAATATGGCGGCTGATTTCCTCCACCAAAGATCTGCTGCTCGTCGTTTAATGTGATCTCATTTCCTGCCTATCTTTCTCCAATATTCCGATTTCTAATTTTTTTCCTTCTTTCAGGGATCTCTTTTTTCTTGGTCGTTTGTATTTCATTATCAATTCTTTGGGTTTGTTCACGAAGCCGACGGCAGGCATATGACGTCATAATCAGATAGGCAAAACTAGGAATCATTCTAACCTTTACGTTCCCGCCTTTTCTTGTCTCGTCGTGTCTCGCCCTGTCATGAAACATTGACCACTGAGTCAACAAAAGCAACAGTTCATTGCACAAACCCAATTCTTGCGTCCAGCTTCATTCGTTCATTTTTCTCTTTCGACTCATCTCCATACACACTCTCGTTTTCTTTCTTTTTTTTCCCTTTGTTTGTTTGTTTCTTTCTTTCTTTCTATTTCTCTTCTTCAGACACTTCTTCATTTTCATTGCTTTTCTTTCTTTTTTCTTTCTTTCTTTCTTTCTTTTTCTCTTCTTCAGACACGTCTTCATTTTCATTGCTTTTCTTTATTTTTTTCTTTCTTTTTTTTTTGATTTTTTAAATTTTCAGACACGTCTTCATTATTTTATTGCTTTTTTTTTTTCTTTTTTCTATTTTAAAATTTTTTTTTTTTTTTTTTTCTTTTTTTTTTCTTCAGGCACGTCTTCATTTTCATTACTTCTCTTTATTTTTTTTTTTTTTTTTATTTCTTTCTTTTTTTTTTTCTTTCTTTTTTCTTCTTCAGATACGTCTTCAAAATCATTGCTTTTCTTTTTTTTTTTTTTGTCTTTTTTTTTTTTCTTTCTTTTTTTATCTTTTTAGAAATTCTTCTTCTTCAGACATTTTAATTTCAATTTAATTTTTCTTTATTTTTTCTTTTCTTTTTTTTTTCTTTATTTATTTTTTCTTTTTTTTTTCTTTTTTTTTTTATTCTTTTTAAATGTCTTCATTCCTTTTTCCTTTTTTTATTTTTCGTTTTCTTTGTTTTTTCGTTTTCTTTCTTTCTTTTTCTATTTTCTTTTTCTGTCCTTGGCTTTTACTTTCTCTTGAATGTTCATTCACCTTTCCTTTCATTTAATACTTTCATATTTTCTTTTTTTCTCTCTCTCTCTTCTTCAGACACTCACTTCATTTCCATTGCTTTTCTTTCTTTCTTTCTTTTTCGGACATGTCTTCATTTACTTACCTTTTCTTTCTTCTTTTCTTTCTTTCTTTTTCAGATACATCTCCATTTCCTTTTCTTTTCTTTTCTTTCTTTCTTTCTTTCTTTTTCAGACACGTCTTCATTTCCTTTTCTTATTTTCTTCCTTTCTTTCTTACCTTTTTCTTTCTTATCTACTATTCATTTTAACTATTTTTCTTTTTTCTTTCATTTTCCTGTTCTTCTACGTTTCATTTTTTCTATCTTTCTTTCATTCTTTCTTTCCTTCCTTTTTTGTTTCTTTCATTGTTTGCTTCTTTCATTCACTTAATCTTCTTTCTTTCTTTTTTCGTTCTTTCTTTCTTTCATTCATTCATTCTTTCTTTCTTTCTCATATTCTTTCTTTTTTCTTCTTTTCTTTCATTCTTTGTTCGTTTCTTTATATGTTTCTTTCTTTCTTTCACGAACATTTTCTTTCCTTTTTCTTTCACATCTACTAATTTTTTATCTTGTTTTTATTTTCTATCGTCTTTCTTTGTTATTTTCAATCATTTTTTTTCGTTTTATTTCTTCATTCATTTGCAACGACTTTTTCTTGAGTCTTTTCTCTTTTTCCTTTTTTTTTATCTAATATTAATTTTATCACTTTTTTCTCTTCCCTATTCCTTTTTTATTCATGTCCCGCTTTGTTTGCTTCTTCCTTTCTTTTTTCTGCCTTCTTCTCGCCATCTTTTTCTCTTTCCATCACTTTCTGCCCTTCTCTTTTGTTCGTTTGGTGCTTTCTTTCTTCATGTTTTGCTTACGACAGTTCTTTAAAGCGCCAATTTCTCTTTGGTCGCACAAATCGAATGGGCTTTCCTCTTTCACCCCTGATTGCTCAGCCTAACTCTTCTGACATCAGAGAACGAAATCAGACTGGTCAGTTCTAAACTACAATGAATTTCAAGAAAGACAAATGTGAAAGCGAATTAGTTTAACGCTTCGGAAATTAACGGATTGATGAGTCTATCGTTGAAGATCAAAAATAGAACAACTACTTGAGATTGTCTGATGTTCTGATAGAAAATATTTGATTGATGCAAACATTAACAGTGCCATGTTAGGAAAATCTTAGAAGTGTTTTAATTTATTGTGCAATCAGTTAAATGCATTAATTATGCGAGTTATTAATTGCAGATATAAGCAGCAAGAAGTGCAGAGGATCAAATAGATGCGAAGAATTTCAACAGCGGATGGCAAATGCGACAGCGAAAGTAAAATATCTTGTAAAAATCAATTTAAAATCCATGGAAATGCTTTACAAATAATCTGGCATTATAAATAATCTATCTATCTATCTATCTATCTATCTATCTATATATATATATATATATATATATATATATGTATGTATGTATGTATATACATATTCAATCTCCTAATATCTATTTCTCGACTATATATTGCATTTTCAAGTTTTTCATATCTATCTATCTATCTATCTATCTATCTATCTATCTATCTATCTATCTATCTATCTATCCCTGTTTCTTCAAACCTACCTCTTATCTGTTATTTTCAGTCACTCCATATTATCTAACTTTCTATCTTTTTCTCTCTTCTTCTCTCTCTCTCTCTCTATATTTTATATATATATATATATATATATATATATATAATGTGTGTGTCAATAATTTTCAAAAAATTTAAGTTTCCTTATATTTTTATTTTCATAGATCCATTTTTAGATAATATATATCATTATCAATCTATGAATATATTAATATTATCTATCTATCTATGACTTTCAATCTATAATCCTTCTCTATATATATATATATATATATATATATATATATATATATATATATATAATCTAATTTGAACATTATGTTTCACTTAAGAACACTGTTGAGAGATAAGTTGATTCTATAAACAACAGCCACCTGCGCTAATGCAAAAGCTCTTCAGTAAAATGAATTGGAGCTCTCTGAAAAATATTTGTTTACATTCATTAAAAAACAATACGCTGAATTAAATGTTTGCTCTCTGTCGAGTGATGATATTTTCAGTGGTTTTTCGTTCTGACGCCAAATACCTGGATTTTTCGATCCGATTTGAAGCATTCGGATGTCTAGTCGTACTGAGGAGATGTGATAGAGGCGAAACAGTACTTTCTGCAAGAATGATATATATATATATATATATATATATATATATATATATATATATATATATATATGTAAAATATCAAAAGAATACTTTTTACAAATTTTGTAAAAATAAGAGGTTTCAAATGGTTCATAATCAAACATAATAGATATTAATTGTCCTATTATTATAGTTTTGTTATATTTAACAAAATATGTTTAAATAATGATCTGCTCTTCCAATATACAATCTCTCTCTCTCTCTCTATATATATATATA